TTGACAACAATGGAACCTCTCTCCTTGAAGTTCTTGATGATGCGATAGATTGTTGACTGAGGTGCAATCTTTCTAGCTGCGATTCTCTTTCCTGTTACTCCATTTTTGTGCAGTGCAACGATGACTGCACGTGTTTCTTTACAGATAACCATGGTTCACAGAAGAGAAACATTAATGCCAAGCACCAGCCTCTTTTTAAAGTGTCCAGTGGTGTCATTCTTACTTAATCATGACAGATTGATCTCCAGCCCTGTCCTCATCACCACCCACACCTGTGTTAATGGAGCAATCACTGAAACAATGTTAGCTGGTCCTTTTAAGTCTTGTTTTTTTTAGATTATGTCTCACAGTGGACATAAACTTACGATGACAATTTCAACCTTTAATTTTAGGTAGATTTATTTTGTTGGTGTTTTTAAAAGGCATTTTCATTCTTATACAACACAGAAATCGAGACTTTAGCCTTTTTTTTAAGCTTTTATGTAGTTTTATACAGTCAATTTCTTCCTGGTGTATCAAAAGAAGTTAGTTACTCTTACCTATTCTTAAAAATTGGAAAGGCAAGGGCAAATTTAAATATGGTTCAATCTTAATAAGTGAGAAAAGGGATTCAACAAACATAAAATTTGCTAACAGTATCACATATCTGCAGTCAAGACCTTTCATTGAAACGTTTAATACTACTTAAACTGGTACAAATAATAAAAATGGGAAAGGATACACATTTTGCCCCTCACAGAGCAGTCTGTGGAAAATTTTAATATTTAGCTTTAATTTTAATTTATTTTTTAGGATGACACAGTAACAAGAAAATATTGCTGTCACATTACCTTATCTGTTGAAAAAAACAACGTTGTGTCCTGGATTTACTGTTGGTTTTTTGAGGTTTGTGTAGCTTGTTCCTAACACATTCTAAGGCCAGCACCTTTGTGTTGCATCATGTCTGAAAACTCTAAAAATGTCCTGGCAAAAAATATCCTTCTTCATGAGTTGCAGCCCTTGCAGAGAGTTTCTCTCCTTATTTGGAGTAAGTACAGTCCTTAAGAAAGCTTGCCCAATTTTTTTTTTTTTACATGTTGAAGAACTCTAGCAGATAGTATTGCAGTTCTCATGAGCCACGTATCCTCAAACTCCAGCACTATCTTCTCATTTTAACTCAAATGTAGTAAAAAAGACCAAATAGAAACATTTCTCATTCTTCAACTGTGCTTTGCATACTTTTACTCACCTATGCATCCTGCGTACTTGAAACTGGGAGGGAAACTTAAATTACCTGGTTTCTGATTAATTTGTCTTATTGACATATGAGCAATAGGAAACAGATTTAATTATCAAGCCTTGAGTATATAAATAAAAGGGGACGGTAATGAAAGGTCATATGTAATGGATCCTTATCTGGCGCAGCACAAAACCGTGAATTTCACAATTCTGATCCTGATACATACATTTTGCATAATTAAAAACAGGATTAAATCAAAGATAATACACATTTCTAAAATGTGCCAGATTAATATATTCGAACAGATTCTTAATTATTGATTTCATATTTACAGTAGACCCACTCTCCCATAGGCTGCTGGAGAGAGGCACAAGCAACCCTCACGACCCCAGCAGGGATGAGCGTGTCAGAAAATGGATGGATGGATTTAGATCCACATAACACGCCTGAGCCGTGTAACAAAGGCATAGAATTGGACAAAAACCTGTAATCATGTCAAGAGAGCTCCACTTAATAATTAGATTTAAAAAGCTTGTGTTGTGGACAAACAACACATCTGTCTTTATTGAGATTTATATAAATCACTTTATAAATATCTTATGTGATTTGTTTTAATAGCTGAATCACTCCTAACTTCACAAAATTATTTGTATATGTAAAGACAATATTTCACCTGATGAATAATCCATTACTCCATAAGCCATGTGTGGATGAATAACTTTTTTTTTTTTTATGTGATAAAAAATCTCTTCTTATTGTGAAAGAAACAGCACCAGTGCTTTCCAGCTCACAAATGTAATGTTTTTGCTCTTCCTCAGGTATTGAAAGATATTTAGAGTGCAGTCAAGAGTTATATTTCCTCCGGCTAGTTTTGAGTTGGCTCCAAATCCTCCTCCCAGAGGAACAAGTCCAAATCAGCCCTGGGAAATGTACAGGGGAACGCTCCTAAAGTCTCGGAATATTTTGCCACAAATAGCTGAGCAGCACTAAATCCAAATGTAGGCAGACCTTAATCATTAGACCAATAAAAAAACAGCAGTCCAGGGCTATAAAAAGGAACATCCCTTTGTTGTTATTGAGAAGCAAAAATACTTTATCCGGGAGCCACAGCCTTTAGTCTGAAAGAAAAAATCTTCACAGAAAATGATATCTGTCACTCCATAATTTAAACATTAATGACTTATCATTCCTGCTGTTATATTTTGTTTTATTATTTTTAAGTATGGTTATTTTCATCAACATTGTATATTGCTTTTTTTTATTTGTTTATTTTTTTGGGGGGGGGTACTTATAAGTGAATATGTGAATATGTTAATCTGATTTTATGATATTTGCTTAAATACTTTTGCTTCTGGTAACTTTCGGTCACTTGGTTTTAACCAGTTGCTGAAGATGAGGTCAGATGTTAAAATTACAGTAGACTAGAGCTTAAATAAACTGTTTCAGTTGGAAGTTGTGCAGAACTGGGGGATAATTTGAATCTTTTTAAGTAGGATATTGCTGGTGAAGATTCTCAGTCATCCAGGTCATAGTCATTCCCCAAAAAGTTTAAAAACGATCCACTGGACTTTGTTACCAAATTTGAATACGTTTCGCTTCCCATCCAGGAAGCTTTTTTAATTCAAAATGTTGGAAAACATCCAAATTGAATCGGGTGCTGAATTGTAGGTTTTTGAAAGCGGAAATCTGAATCCACCCCCTCTGTTTAAAGTTGTTTTTTCTTTCATAACATAGATGACTCCCTTCACAACCCTCTCAAACCACCTATCTTCTTTGTCCAAAATGTGAACATTCTGGTTCTAAAATGAATGTCATTTGTCCATAAGATGTAGATGCACCACCGAGTCTTGTCGAGGAGGTCACTCTTCAGTGTTGGGCCATGGGTCTGTGGAGAAATTGTTTGGTTTCTCCAATATAAAGATCAGAGCTTTCCTCACTGCATTGAACTGCATGCACCACTCTACTCATATTTGTTCAACCCCTTGTGCATCTTTAGGATGCACAAGGGGTCTTGTTAGATTTGAAATGTACTGGGATTTCAGACTCCAGCAACTGAGACTCCAGCAACATATGGGATGGCAATGTTTTTGCATTTGCAGAGAGTGAAAGTTTGTGTTCTGGTGGGTGGTGTGAGTCAAAAAGAGGATATTGGTCTGTGTGAGTGGATTTCCTATACACTTTAGTATTAAGGTTTCCATCTCCTTTCATGCTCACCGTACAGTCCAGAAAAGGTAGCTTGTTGTCGTTATCATCCAATCTACCGAATTGATGTGTGTGTGACAGCTTCCACTTCTTTTAGCTGGATTGAATGTGTCATCCACATGTCTACACCAATGGCTTGGTGGTGTTCCTCTGAAGGTGTCCAAAGCTCTCTTTTGTTTTTGGTCCACTCTATAAAGCCTTGAACTCAACACTATTTTGACATTTTGAATTGAAAAAGCTTCCTGGATGGAGAGCAAAACGTCTTAAACCTTGGAAACAAAGGCCAGTGGATTGTTTTTTTTACTTTTTTGGAATAAGCAAGATATTGTTAACTTATTATATGTAAAGGTTGATATACTGGTTAGTCTTGATAAACACTTAACATCTGAGACAGAGACAGACTTTATAGATTACATTTTTTATTACAGGAATGTAAACCTTTTCTGTCTGAGTTGTTATAAAATTAGCTGAAGCTCTCAGTTTCTCTATAGAGTTATTTATTCTTTTACAAACTCAGGTCTTTATGACATGTTTATCACATGTTGGTGAACTGGTGATAACTTTCCAGAACACCATTAAAAACACATTATCTCTTTAATATATTAGATGATAAAAAAAAGAAAACCTTTGACCTCTATGTCACATATTTCTGTGAGAGCAGGCTAATTTAAAGTAGATATTAACCTTTAAGCTGACATGCTACAGACTCCTTAAACTAAAATGTTCTTGTGAAATAGCTTTATAATTTAAAATGGAAATAAAAGTGATAGTTGTGCTTTCCAGTGCTCAAATTCATTCAATAAAAGAGATGGTGGTAGGGGGCAGCAGGAAAAATTATGAGATGAGGTCACTGTACAGTAGGTCACTGAACTCTGAGTGTTGGGAAATTGTTTTGAGTCATTTTTTTTTTCTTTCCCTGGAACAGTTTGTCCCTGAGGTGTTGCAGTTTGAGCCCTTTGTTACTGTCGCTCCTATGATTCTGTTCAACAACCAGAAAAAGCCTAATAGCAGCTCAGTAGTGTTGATTTCAAGAGGAGCTCCATATGAGGAGAATTGATCGTTTTAGAAAATACAAATCTAAACACAGGGTTTATTTATTTATTTTGTAGAACAGGATCTGCCTTACAGGATTTTCAAAACTGTAAAATAAAATTTTCAAATATGGCTGACATAAGATATGTAAATTACATTATTTAAATAGCCCTATCTCTTTTTTTAATGATTTTTTAAAGTATATACATAATTTCCTGTAAAAAAAAAAAAAATCTGCTGTCAATGAGTGTTGGTGGTGATTGTTCGGAGCTGATGAGGTCCTCAGCTCTCAGGTTGTGCAAAATATTTCAAAGTTGAGCTGCTAAAGTTGGTATAGCCTCAGTACCCGGCTGCATATCCTCCTTTACGAGGATCCGACTTAGCATACAGCCTATTTTCATGGCGCACCACTGCCTGCACCACGGCTCCTGTTGATGTGAGGTACTCTGTCTCATGGTTTTTCTCTCTCAAGCCATCAGCTACATCCTGTGAGCCAAAAAACAAGAAAGCATGAAAAGCAAATATATCTGGTAAATCATTTTAGCAACAGAATAGATCGCCAGTCAAAGTTTACTGTAGCTTCAGCAAAAAATAAATAAAATACTTATACAATGTAAACGAGAAAAAAGTATTTTAGTTCAATTTAGAGTAGTCCACATTATATGTATTTACTTAAACCTTTTCTAATTTATTTAAACCATTAGTTATTGTCAGTGACCAAGCCCACAGCTCCAAGCTTGTCTCTGCCAGTATAAAATGAAAATGATTAATTGATTGACTTAAACTCAATCATTGAAACAGAAGTTGAACTAAGATGTTTTAATATATATAGATATATTTTTAAACTGTTAATTGATGCATTATTAGTTTACGGCTGTGGTCAAACTGTTTAATTTGTTCTACTACCTGCTTTTATTATGTTTATTTTTTTATTTTATTTAATTCACCTAAATCAGTTTGACTTGTCCTTGTACGGATTTTTGCTATACAAATAAACCTGCCTTGCCTCGCCTTGCCTAACACGGAGAAGCAGCTTTTAATTTCTATGCTTTGCTTATCTGTAACAAACTCCAAAAAGACTCTTCCTCCACCTTCTCAATCTGAAAAAGGCCTCCTCTTCCATTGTGCTGCTGTCATTTCTTGTTTCTTTCTTGTTTTTTCTTTTGCTGGGGTGACTGCTACATTAGCTGTATGCAGGAAGTGCTCACACAAGGCGCCATTCATGCAAGGTCCATCAATCACAACAATGTGAGTTTGAAGTTTAGCTTTCGATTGGCGTCGAATAACAAAGGTGATGTATTTATATGATCCTGTACATTTAAATATTGTTTTAAGAGACCATTTTACATTTTTGCTATACATGCATCATATTAATAGCTGTATGTTAACCTTAAAAAGGAAAAAAATATCCTATCTAAAACAGGGCTATAAAATTCCCTCCCTTCATTACAGTAAAATAAAGATACAGATTTGCATTATAAGCCAACACAAGAAGACCAACAAACCAATTAATAACAATAAGATAACGTTATAGACACAAAGACCGTCTTTCAATATGTGTACTTGTGCGTTCTCATGTGCTTGTGTTCGTGAAACATCATCAGTCTCTGCCCTAGTGCTGTTCCAATTCACAAGAACACAAGATGGAGAATGGACAAAGTCCCCGGATGTTGTGCTCGCCCCTCCCTCTTTACCGAGCATGCATCAGAGCAGACTTGTCTATTCTCGAGACTGAGAGCTGTCCCAGGATGCACCACAGCATCAGCACCCACCAATGGAGTGCTCACGTAGCTCAGAATATTAAGTAAAAAGTTCTCATTTCTGTTGCCAGTGTTCTATAAAAGTACATTTTAAGTCACTACATAGGATTGGGGGGATAGTGGGGGGATAATAGGAGTAAGAATTTATTATCATCTAGAGAATATTAATAGCAGGAGGTGAAATGCAGCTCCAGACGAGTCGAGCGTGTGTTGACTTCACAAGTAAACTTCTGTTCCAACTGACCCATATTTATGCTGTGTGCTCACATTCTTCCGGAGCCCATGCTTTCCTGTTTCCTTCTCAAAAACATACTTGAGGAGATGAGTCCATACTCAAGTTCATGTGAACTGAGAAAAGGCCAAAGCGTCTGTTCTTGCAGTGTTTTGATCATCGCTTGTGAGCCTAAATAGAAGCCTAGCAACAGGTTCAATTAGCAGACATAAACAGATATGGAGCCATCTGCTGGCTGTACCGCAGAACTATCAGAAAGCCAAATGGTGACTGTCCTTCAATGCCTTAAATTAAAGCAACAGCTTAGCATGCTTGGTTCCTATTAAACAAAATGAGCAATCTACTGCAAATGCAAGTTCTAGTAAAGCCTCCCCAGAGTCTCCTATCACAACACCATGGAAAAATAAATTTCCCATTCCGAACAAACATAAACAGTGCCACAGCATCAAGTAAAGAACCAAGCAATCTATTTGTTCATTGTATAATTCTGTTTGTACTTTATAGACTAATAATCGCATTGCCATCTCTATTATCAGCATTAATAAGGACGTTTATTGACATTTCCATCAGCTACACAGCCACATCTAAATACCTCGACAGATTTAGCTTCATGGCGCATGAACATTCATACTGTATTCATAGCGTTATTCCAGTCTTGTATTTCTCTGATTTTTTAAATCTTTTTTTTTTTTTTCATTGGATGTTATACTTTTTTTTTTTGCTGAGAGGTGCTACCTGGCTTAGCAGGGGTAGGCTACTTTTTTGTTTAACCCCTTTGAACATACGCTGTATTGTACCTTCTTTGTTATAAAAAATATACACAAAGAACAATGAAAAAGCATAAAACACGAAAATTACAAATAATACGCCAGAAGGACACGTGGTATACTAGAAAAACTTTGTATTCAACCCAAGTGAGCAAATGGCTTATAAATGTAAAAATGTACGTCTATAACATGGTTAAAGACTTTTGATACTGGAAAGGTATGCAATGATGTAATGTGGCTGAAGTAAAAGTATCCCATAATTGACAGCTTCTCCCTGTACAATGCAGTCTTTTACCATTAATAGCATAAATTGGGGCTTTGTTGTTTTTGATACTCACTTTTTCAAAGTCTGGTTCCAACACAGTCGTATTGGGAACCAACTGGTTGTGGATCCTTGGTTCTACGACAGCTTTATCCACATCGAATTTGAAGAAAAGTGCATTGAGAATCACCTTCAAAATTGCAAACATGTTCTATTGTTAAACACGAGAAATGCACATATCTCCTTTTTCAGTCTCAGATTTGCAAGTGTTTTACCTGAGCCACAGATGTAGTGATTTTTGTTCCTCCTGAAGCTCCGACCACCATCTTTACATTTTTGTCCTTGTCCAAAAGGATTGCTGGACACATAGAAGACATCGGCCTTTTCCCTGTTTAGAGAATGTGAGGCTTATTTATGTCAATAGTTTAATGAAAATAAATCAGTTTTCCTGTTATTTTCATTAGTGCAATCCAAAGTAAACTTATAACAACATTATACAGTGTAAATCATAGGTTGAAGAGGTTGTCTTACCAATTTATCAGTCAGCTCAAGCGGATATAACTTTAATTGAGTAGCCTTCACTATAAAGCAAGCAGTCTGTTTGTCCTCACATTAATATTTTAGTGGGTTTGAGCTATATCTTGTTTCTTTCAGGGATTTCTGTTTTTCATTTCTTGCCAGTATATGAGGGCACAGGCTGTGTCTCTGACACGGTACCCTGCACCATTAGGGAAAACGACAGGGAAAGTTTCTGGCACAGTGCCTCCTTACCCCTCTAAACAGACCTTTAACTCCCCAGGCAAATTTTCATACTTGCTTGTCATAGTCTGCTTCATTGCAGAGAGAATGAGTCAGAGAACAGACAGTGAATGAACTTTTACAGAACTTTGAAGACCAGAACCCTGTCATGATCAATGTGGTGAAAACCAAGAAGCTGGTGGTGGACTTCCACAGGCTTAGAACCTCCATCCTGACTCTAGTGAACATTCATTTAGCCAATGTTAACATACGGTAATATATTTTAGTGTGTTCACCTTAACGATAAACTAGTCAGGAGAAATAACAGTGATGCTCTTTACAGGAAAGGTTGGGAAAGATTATCTCCTTCGAGATGTTTTGAAGTGGAGGGGAATTTTTTTGAATATGCTAGTTGGGAGAAAGCCAGCTTTGTCTCAGGATAAAATGCAGTTAGTGGGAGACAAAAGACTGCAACAAACCAACACGATTCAGGACAATGTCTCCAACTGCATGCACAAAGTTGTTGCTGAGATAGAGAGCTCTTTCAGGGATAGACAGCTATCTCATAGATGCACAAAGTAACACTTTGCAAATCCCTTCTCCCTGCTACTGTTAGACTTTTTTTTATCTTTGCTGGTCAAAACAGGCATTGTATGAAAATAGCACAGTTTGAGTCCCTTTAAGCTTGTACTTTTTTTTTTAATCAAACAGATCAGGTAGAAAAATATATAGATATGACAGATGGCCACTTGCAGCTGTGTTCTGCTGGAGGTTTCTTCCTGTTAAAAACAAGTTTTTCCTGTTCACTGTCGCTACAAGCATGCTTAGTGTGAGGGATTGCCTTCGAGTCAGTGAGTCAATGCAATCAACTGGTTTTCCTTAGATAGAAAACTTTTAATCACTTTGACTCTATGATCCAGTTGAATTGTCTCTGTAAAATGCCTTGAAATTACATGTGTTGTGAATTGGGACTATATAAATAAACTGAATTGAATTGAATATGCTAGGTGGATATACTTTATTTATTCCAAGCTTGGAAATTGTTACTTATTTTGCATATTTTTTCAAAATGTTTCATTTAAAATTGCATTTAAGTAAATGAAAAACAAATTAATCCTAAAAGAAATAGGATAATTTTTTTGAAGTTGACAGCAGCTGTGTAGTCATGTCCTTATATACCACCAACCCTGTTACATGAAGGGTTTTCCCCCCATAAATACAATCGTATGATCCATGATAACATTTTCATCAGGAATTGACGTCAAGTTATTCCTGTTTCTTTATTTTGGTCATTTTTGTTTTCATATTCTGGACCTAGAACTAGAACTTATTTCATATCATAATTTTAAAAAATAGAGAAAGCTTCTACTTATGGAAAAAGTTTTTTTTTGTTTTAAGAGTATATGCCAATTCTGAATCTCATGCATATCATGTGTTCTGTCTCTAGTCTTCACTATAAGGAGCAGTGGCCATTTAGTGCCCACATCACATCACTTTCATGCTCAACCTTGTTACAGGTTTCATTTTAATGGTTGAGATTTTGACAGGTTTGGCTGAGAGAGATGTAGTTAGTATAATTCCTCAGCTGTGGCAACACTGCAGTGCACGACTACTATCAGATCAACACTTTTTTTGTGAACCCCTCCAGCATCTTGTGGCTGCTTCTCTGATTAATACTGTTCTTTCTTAGCCTGGCAGTTGAGATGGATTGACATGTCAGGGTGTTTAAAATCTGATTGGGAAACTGCATAGTTCAGCTTTAAACCTATCAACATTCCCCGCCTCAATTGTCTTATGTTTTTCTTGGTCTTTATAATATTGTTGTTTCCCTAATAATCTCTAACAGACTTCTGAGGCCTTCACAGAAGAACTGCGTTTAAAGTAAAAGACAAAGAATATTCCTGTCGGTCTGGTAAATTCATCAGGTGATTTATGAAAATAGGTGGTTAAACTAGACTTGGTGGTTTTAGAGTGCAGTAACTGTTTGGTTTACATGATTTAAGAGAAACTTAGAATGTATCGGTCTCCTCCACTTCACAGTTACGAACTTCATTATGTAGATATATTGGATAGAATCCTAATGAAATAAACTGAAGCTTGTGGCTCTGTGACAAAGTACCAAATTATAACATCTTGTGTGACTGTCTGACTCATAAATCATGATGGGATTTAGTATTTGTGAAACTGTTGCCAGTTTTGATAACAGGAGTTCCAGATAATGAAGATATCTATAACCTATAATCTTTAACAAACAATCATTAACAAAATGCAAAGTATGGTGGTGATATAACACTCAAACATGGAGCTCAGTTCTAACTATAGGTCTTTTACTGTGTTCTTCTTCAGTATTCAGAGATTAAGGTAAACAGTTGCTCCACCACAGATAAACAGGATAACCTGGATCTTGCTAATAAGGAAGTACCTCCTGTTTCAGTTGAAGGAAGATGATTTATGATTGTCTGATCTTCACCAAGCTAAAAATGCTTAAATCTTGCTTAAAATGTACAAATGCAGCATTATTCTTTTTTTTATTTATTTATTTATTTTTATTATTATTTATAAACCAGGAAGAGGAGAAGGATCGCTGTCTTAGCTTGGCCTTACTCAACCAGAACCCCATAACCCATATCCAAACGGAGCTTCATCAGATCCCTCTGACACCATTTTTCTAAGTCGCTGAATGTCTTTGACTTGTGCAACACATCCACTTTATATGAAACTCATCAATGGATCAACTAGAATATTCTGGAAAGGTGAAAAAACTCTTCATGATGTCAACCATTTACTGACATGCTAACTTTCAACTGCGTGTAAATAAATAATTTAGTTTATACGTCAGACTTACCACAATAGTGTCATTTTGGATAACATTTCTCCATAATGTAACTAAAACACAGAACTATGTGAAAAAAACTTTCATACCATAAGAGCGTCTTGCTAAATAATTTGCTTTAATCCTCTCTCAGGTGAAGAAAAAAGTCAAAGGTGAAAGTTTTTTCTTCCATTTTCAACTTCTATTTTAACTAAAACATCCTTGTATCAAATTTCCATTAGTTTCCCTGCCCTTGGTAAATAAAAGTATCTCCCTAGATTGATGCTATCACCACCATATTATGTTATATTAAGTGATGTTTTGTAACCACATATTTTTGTTACTGGACAAAAAAGTTTACTTTCAGTTTTATCTGGTTAAATACTATGTTTGTTTTTTCCCCTTCAGTATTGACTTCTTTTTTGCCAGTCTTCAATAAAAGCCAGATTTGTTAAAGGCACTGTCACTGTCTTGGTTCTGCTATGCTTTCTTTTGAGTATTCAGTTTAACTTTGCTCCATGTTTTCTGGTTTTATTGGTTTAATTCTTATTTTGTTATGTTTTCTGGTTACTTTTCAGTTCTCAGGTTTTTATTTGTTGCCCTCTTGTGTTGGTCTCCTTTTTCCCTGGCTCCTTAGACTGCTCTCTTCCCACCTGCTCCCAATCTGCTCGTTAGTCCTCTCTTTGTTCAGTTGGCCATAAATACTCTTCTTGTGCAGTTCCTCAGTGCTGGTTCCTCGTCTAAAATCATCTTACTTTGTCCTACATTGTCTTACCCTGGCTCCTTGTGATTGTTTCCCCTGATGTCTCCATGGTTCTGGTTTGTGTTTAATTTTTACGTTGGATTTTTTGATTCCTGCTTAGTTTAACATTTTTCAGTTGAATTTTTGGATTTCTGTTTTTGCTACCTGTGATCACTCATTAAATCTACAAGAAACTCACCTCTACCTCCCTGCCTCTGCATTTGGTTCCTCAACCAAACCCTGACAGATACAGTATGAGCTTCCCTGTCAACTCATTTTTCCATCAGAGCTGTGGATCTCTAAGCTCCTCAGGTGTTACCATGGACCTTTAGGATATTGCTCTCTCAGCAAACGTGGAGAGCCATATCTTCATTAGTTTGCACTTTTTGCATGTGTTTTCTAGAACTTTTTGACATACTGCTTAAACACAACTATTTCTTCAAGAATTTTGGGGGTCTACATAAATCCTCTGTATTTCAGCGTCGTTGTGTCCATGGGCAAGACAATTCACCTGCATTGTCTACTGATGGTGGTCAGAGGGCCTGGTGGCACCAGTTTACGGCAGCCTCTCTTCTGTCAGTGAGCCCCAGGGCAGCTGTGGCTACAATGTAATTTGCCACCATGAGTGTGTGCGTGAATGGGTGAATGACTGAATGTAAAGTGCTTTGGTCAAGTCTCCTGACTTGGAATAACGCTATATAAGTAAAGGCCATTTAACATATCTTGCAGCCACTGATCTGTTCATGAAAAATGCAGGTTTAAATCTACCTGGGGTGATGAAGTTGCTCGGGGAAGGCGGAACACCGAACCCATTGGTGATGTTTGGTGAACTGAAGTCATCCATCTCATTGTTCAAAATAATTCCTGTAGATCTTGATATGACTTTGGAGCCAAAACTGCAGGAAGACAATTACCTATCAGATCCACAAGGATAATAACTGCAATAATTAATCGGGTAAACTTACTATAGGTTGATGGTGCTGGTAGCAGACACAGCACTACCGTCCTCAGATATAACAGACAGATGGGATGTCCCATGGTCATCTGGCAGGTAAAACTCTGGCCCATAATATTCCATGGGATGTGTTGTATTGTCCGTAATATTTCTCCGGAGGTTATCAGCATACGCAGTGGAGATCATGTTCTCGATCAGCTTTTGGAATAATACGATTTTGACTTGAGTTCAGAGCTGTGCTAAATTTAAAACAAGAGCAGTAACATTGAACTAAAATATGAGTACTTCTAGACCACCAATTTTAACTGTCACAGCATAATTTATTATTTTATTTCTTTTTTCTTTTTTTTGTAGATCAGCTTTTACAGCCCGCCTAAAAGAGCATGTAACCATTATTGTCTATACCCAATTTTATCCATTTGAGGTTGCAGGGGCCTCAACCTGGACAACCTTGACAGGCCTACAGGCCTACAGTCTGTCGTAGGCAACACCAAGACATACCAGACAACCAATCACACACATACTCTATGCTAAGGGCAATTTATAGAGGATAAATAATTAACCATACGTGTTTTTGTATCACTACCCAGAGAGATCCAAGGAATGCACAGGGAGGACATACATACAGTATTCCATGCAGAAAATCTAACAAGAGAAAAGCAATCATTCTCAAAGTATAAAGGAAAGGTCTTCATAAAAATTAGGTGTGCCGATAAAGTCACTAAGTTAGTGTTGCAAATTGGCTTTTATTAAGATTTGTTGTAAATAATATATGTTTTTGTAATTTATGCAAAATATTATAACTCCTACATTTACCCTTCTGATTCTTTAACCTCCTGGCTGTTAGATTGTATACCTTGGTTGTCAAATATTTTCTGTCTCTGAACCAAAAGTGACAATTAACAAGACTTGAACATTTATCTTGCTTTTGTATCAAGTGTTTGTATTAAATTAAGGTATATCCTCTATGTTTGGTTCAGTTATCCTTCACCTGATCCTCACATTCTCTACACATTTTCTTGCAAAAGTAAAAATAGTCAATATGGCCAAATCCTTTTTTCAATTCAACAGATCATGGGGATGTTTTATGTTTTGCTAGGAATAATGGATTTCATTTCTCTAAGCGGCCTTTTGTGCAATGCCTGTTAGAGACTTGCATTGTATGAAAAGCAGTGACTATCATCTTCACAAGTTAATTTGCTTTTTCATTAAGCTTCAGCAGAAGACAGTTTAACTTCTTTGACTTTATTCAGTAGTCTTTTTCCATTTTAAACATGGTTGTAACTGGTAAATAGTTGTTGTCAGAACAATTACATTGATAGTGTTCTTGTGGTCATTAAAGGAGCAAATAAAGACACAATTCACTCAGGCTACATTCAGTTCAGTTTTTGGTCCTTGTTGAATGACGATCTAAAGATATCTCTAATTAGGCCAAGGGAACTGTTTTGGGGATCATTTGTAAAGTTTTCTATGTAAACACATTCGTCTTTGAGACACAGAAGCTGTCTCCTTTCTGAAAATTTCTATGTTTATACTCATACTTGTTTATACTCATAACTCATAATTGTTTATACTCATAACCAATGAATGAGTACATGAATATTTCACTGAAGGGTTATTCAAATTTGTGTGTGGCAGTAATTCTATCTGTGATATCTCAGCAGATTTATATTTTTTTTCTTTGTTGTTTTTTAATGAGATCAAACAAGGAATTGTTTTAGAGGTGTCTGCCTTAGGCACAAGATTGTATTAATAGTGGTTTGCAATGATTCCTTTCTGAATAGTATCCAAAGATGCTGCAGTCTTTGTTGACACAACTTAATGTTCCTCCCTCATTTCATCTCCCAGAAAAGTGGGTAAAGTTTCCCTTTGCAAGTTAATGAACATCCGTTTTCTCCCGCTTATCTTGTCAGTGTTGCGTGGGGCTTGTTGCTTTTTTTTGGCGTTTTTTGGGTTTTGGGTTCCCCCTTGACCGGTTTTTTCTTTTTTCCCGGGGCACGCCAAGGCCCCCCACCCTGTTCCCCCTTAGGGCCATTTTGGGGAGGCCATTTACCTTGGAGTTCTTTTTGGGGGGTTTTGGGGGGAGGTTGTGTTCCCCGGGGGGAACCCCCCCTTCCCCGGTTGGACCCGGCAACTTCCTTCCGGAAGGCCCTTGGGCGTTGATTCAACCCCGGACCTTTTTTGCTGCAAGGCAACGGTGCTACCCACTGCCTACCATGGAGCCCAAGTTATTGAATATTCCCATTGAAACTAACATAGTTCCAGTAAATTCTTAAAAGTTAATTAACTTACATCTGTTATGTTGAGAAACCCTGGATCTCCAAGTAAAGTTCTTTTTGCATAAGCAAAGCGATGAGCCTCCACAATGCGATGGAAGGTTAGGATCCTTTTCTCCTTGGTCGCCATACTGTCCTCATTGAAGTTGTACCCTGCAAATGATTACAACCAACAGTAGCACTTGACTGAAACCAGGCTTTTATCATCTATTTTCATCATTTAAGGTTCAAGTAGATAAAGAAAAATATGACTGGCATGAAACTGCTTTTAATTTAGTCCCAAAGTTGAAGGCACCATACAGGAATTATTTATCTTAGTTTTATGACAGAAGCAGGAGTCACAGAAAACCAGCAGGGTGCAAGCTTTTATTTTACAGTGACTGAGTCCTGAATTAAGCTTGAACAAGGCAGCTGTGTCCAATTAGAGGTACATTTGGGGGATTACTGTATGGGTGTCGAAGGCAGTGGGGTACAGTGAGTGGGCAGCCAGTCAAAAGACAGGGAGAGGGTTTTGATGATTAATTATTTCAGGGAAAAGTTTCTCTAATCCTCTGCGGCAGATACTGTCACCGCTCTGACACGAAGCTGAGAGAGCGTGACGGTGTCTTCACAGACCGGTAGTCGGAATTTTATGGTCCAGACAACAACAAGCCAAATCAGACAGATGACATATACAGAAAGAACGAAAGTGGAAAAAAAGAAATACTGGCAGAGATTTGATTAAAAGCATCAAAATGTTAACTATTAGTCAACTCTAATGTTTATTCTATTAGACATCATAAAGGAGAAAAGAGTTAATTTCTGTAAAAGACAAAAAAAAAAAATCTTTTTTTTAACAAGTTTCCAGTTACATAACCCTAATTCTGGTTAAATGAAGTTAAATGATCCTTTGAAGAGAGGATTTCCTGTACAGAAGCCCTACATATCCCTCAGAGGTGACTCCTTTCTGTGAGAGTGACTGCAAGGCAGCTTACACCGAAACACATTCTCTCCCACTCAAGATGTTTTTGGATGGTGCATCAAGGCTTACCATTCAGGATGTTTAATATCAGCGATAGCACAGGGCCGCTAGCGGGGGCATTGGGAACAACCATGGAGTACTCCCCCACATTCACAGTTAAAGGTTTTTCATCCAAGATGGGCTCATAATCCCTGAGATCTTCTTTTGTAATGATGCCACCTAAACATGGATTGACAAACTGTGAATGCAATGCTGAGCAGAAATGCAAACAAATTCTCCTTAATCTGCAAATGGATAGTGCAAAGCAGCTCTTAGCCCCAAAAGTAGATTTCATATACTGGCTTTTAATCTGTGGATATACTAATTTGTTGAAGTTTTTTTTAGCTTAAATAACATTAAGAGTTTGTCTATAGACCCATTTGCAAAAGAGGGGGTTTTAAAAACATGGAAAATTCCTCTGTGTAGCTTTTGACTTACATGATGAACTTAAGCATGCTACCTGATACCTCTAAAAATAAGGTCAGTTTGTGTCTAAACTAATAAAATATGCTAATTACGAAGCATTCTTGCAAAACAGCAACAAACGTATCCCAATCCAATCAATAGGGATTGGATTGAGAGCTGTTGAGCTGTTTTCCGAAGAAAATAAAGTCTTTTAAGTCTAACTATTTTAAGCAGGTATAGATATTGCCAAAAAAGATAGTGTTGCATTTGTAAAATAAAAAAATAAATAAAATAAATGTAATTATCTTCCCCCTTCACAACTATATATTATCTTGCCAATCAAATAATATGGCATATGAAATCTATTTATGACATTAGGAGGTAAGAAGAACAAAATGTCTTAACTTTAAGTGGGATTGGATGATTTTGCAAGTTAGTGTATATAGGACCAATATGAAACACTAACAAATGGTTTTTAAAAAAAAAAGGTACCTGCAGCCTGAATATCTTTCACAAGATCATCAGACAGTTGTCCTGTGTAGAACTCCTCTGGCCCGTTCTCTGCTATTCTCCTATAGGTTTCTGCCAGTTTGGTAAATTTCACAGTTTCATTTTCTTCTAACACATTGCCGTCTTTCCCACAAAATACTTCACTGGAAAAATTTAAGAAGGATTGTGTTAGACATGGTTATCTATGACACAGGGAGTTAATTAAAGATGATGCCTCTCACCAGAAGGCCATGTCATTCAGGATGATTTCCTTGTTTCTGGCAACAGCTGTAGCCAGCGCCTTGCCCATTGGAAATCCTTTCTCAGCGAGTTCGATGCTTGGCTGAAACAGGTCTTTCCAGGGCAGTTTGCCGTGTCGTTTGTGGGCAATTTCATAGCCTCGAATCTCTCCAGGGACAGCAATAGCCAACCCTCCTATAGACCAAAGGACAGTTAAAAAAAAGAGTAGGGGTTTGTCCTTTTCAGGTTCTTATACCCATGTTTCATTAATTTAATTTCTATTAATTAGAATTAACTAAAACCCTTTAGCCACATAAAAGTGTATCAGCATCTCTGCTAAAATTGTGAAGGAGGCTTAAAATTAATGTTATTTTATTTCAGCAACAGAATCTCTTTCCAAAAATAAAATTAATCATTTTAAAATAACAACCTTCAGGCTGGGTTTAAATACATTTCTGAAATTCATCTGTATTTGATTTTTTTGTGGCTTTTAAAAAAAAATTACCAAGATATTTGGAGGGAACAAAGTTTTTTTTTCCCTCTTTTCATTCATTTGTTTCCATTCAATCTTTGTTTCTCTGGTTAAACGTTACCTTTCTGGGATAAGTCTGAACTGCTCCCAAACATATTTTGGGTTGCATTGCGTGGAGCGGTCTCCCGTGCGTTAATGACCTCTGCTTTCCCTGTTTAGAAGCCCCATTGAAGAAAATTATTTGCATGAGTTAGTTGGTTTGTGCAGATCTGAAAATCTTATGGGAAATGTGTGTCACTGTACCAGTTTTAGCGTCATAAATGGTGAAGAAAAGACCTCCTCCTATGCCCATACTGTGAGCATTCATTAATCCAACACATAATAATGCCGCTATTGAAGCATCCACTGCAGATCCACCCTTCTTTAGCATATCCCTATGATAAAGATAATGAAAGAAATATAGTTTATCATCAAGGTGATCATAATTATAGGTCAACTTTTTCCTCTTGCTGCTGATAAGACAAGTTCTTACCTGCCAATCTCTGAGCAACGGCCAGCGTCTGCTGCCACAGCTGCCTTTTTGTAGCCACTTTGTCTCTTCACACCGAAGAAAACACCAAGAAATGTGGCAAGACATGCTAACAGCAGCACAGCAAGGGCCACTATTATTATTTTTTTGGCCATTTTGAGTATTCAGGAACGAATAAATCTGGTTTCTGAAAAAGAGAAATAACACACACATAATTGTAAATGCAAAACGTATTGTCTCATTCAAATACTTCCCATGTTAAAAGAAGAACAGATCTAAGCAAGCTCAATTCAAATGAATGATTGTAGTAGATTGATTGGTGTTTTGGTTTTGGTTTCCTTTTGTGTTTGTCTTGTGATTTATTTGGGTCTGTTCATGTCATCAAGGTTTTGCCGTAATCAGTTAATTTCCTGTATTCATTGTTGTTGTGACCCCCCCAAACACCAGATGTCATTAAGATCATGGTTTTTAGGCTAAATCTGGTTGGTCTGTCATAGTCTTAATTTATTCCAGAAATAGTTGTTGATAATTGGGCTATTTGGGCTATTCAAGATTTCTACAGGACTTCACCATTGAAATTCGGGAGAGCTATAGTTAAACTGACAATGCCCACATGAATGGAAGTCAGATGTTGTAATACATCGTGTAAAATTGAAAATAAATTAGTTATTTCATCTTTCCGATTTATGATCCTCCACCACGGGTTCGTCGTTGGATTGCCAACTTGAAGAGGGAGGATTTGCCATCAAACTTCTGGCCAGATGAAAAACACATAATATGTAGCCAAGAAGAATGTTTTCAAGGTGAATTAGATAATCGTGCCTTTTGATAAACACCAGATACACCTATGGGACTTGATCAACAGCCGATACCGCACTGTGGCAAACATGGATGTCTCCAGTAAATCACATTCAAATGAAAATTTCTCTTAATTAAAAACACTTATTGTTTATTGAACTGTATGTAATCATTTCATATTGAAAGTACTTTCAGAAGTTTGAATTCTGCATATGACCGGACTTTTCCATTAAGTCTCAGTTATACAAACAGATGTAAAGATTGACTTTATTATAACGACAATTCTTCTCTAATCTAACTTAATAAAAGTATTATTTATTTTTTTTATTGGAAGTACACAGTATAGTTTCCTGACTGAAATGTATCACATTAAGTAGTCATTTACCTGAACATATAAAAAAAACACAGACCCTACTCTGCAGATTAGGCTCAGTAGTCAGAGTACTACACGATACCACAGACCAAAGTGACAAATAGTTAAAAAAAGTCTGGAGTATTTTAGTTTTTTCCTCCTAAATCCTAAAGTAGTTTCAGGCTCATTCACTGCTATGTCATAAGAGCAAAAACAGGTTATGTAACAGGGGAGCGAACTGATTCAGGTGAACGACTGTTACATGTCTCTCAAATCAGCTATAGAAAAAACATCCATATTTTTTTTACATGTGATCATATTAGAGCAATGATTATCAAATATCTTACAAGCTTTCATTAGATCTTAATTAAACATTTACAAATTCAATGATTACTTTACCTTCCTGTAGATTATTATGTAAATATGCCTTTCCCTGCTTCCTCTTGGGGCTTCAGCGGCATGCAGCCTCTGTTTGTCAGCAGCTTGTAGGTGATGTGTTTATATTGTACAGTCATTAAACTTTAACCCATCCCACAATAAACCATCTCACCTGAGTCATTGTAAGTGGCAACAAACACAGGCTGAACAAGTAGAAGAAACTACAAAATGACAGTCGTAGTGATACCTTAGGATAGGATATCTTTATAGAACTTTTAGAAGCGAACAGACTGAGGTTTTACATGACCCTGAAACTGACGGGGCAGCACAACCCGAGGGCGAAAGGTTCTTTTTTATCTAGAGCAATGCTTAGATCTGTGAAAAAGATTAACAGGCAGAGGCCTTAATTTGGCTTGAGTTTTATTTTAAATGGTTGACGTATGACTGGAGGAGGACAAGGCTTTACAATGAGATAGTGAGGTGTAGGCTTTACTCAAAACACTTGTGTTTGAGCTAAAAAATAAAAGTCCCCAGCAGGCATGAAAATGGGAGCTTTCAGGAATGCGAGGGAGAGAACAACATATCCAAAGCTAAGACAGAAAAAAGCACTTAGAAGTACAAAATAACTGTTTGACGAAGTACATAGCAGAGTACAAAATCTTCTCTAGATAAGCAACCAGTCCAGAAGGTGTGGAAAGCATCAAAGATATTTAACTGCAGATTCGACAGTTATATCAAGTCTTTTTCTGCCCTAACCTGAAGTGACTAACTTATATCACTGTCAGTGACTAATGTCTAAACCTGCTGATCCTTTGCAGCTTAAACTTTAAACTCACACAGCAACTGAAGCTACACCTGTCAATAATTTGACACAAAAGTTTCAGATGGGTGACTTTAAAAGTATAAAAGAGGAATGATTCGGATGCTAAAAAGAATATCCTGGGTGTATAAAAAAATAAGGATTGTTGTTTTTTTAGGTCGACAGGAATGATTCTGGAATAGTGAGCCATAGTGTTACTGCAATATGTTGTTGAAGCAAAACAGGTCATAAAAACTTTATTGCCATTTGATGTTTAACTGAAATTTTAAAACACTGTTCCTTACTACAGTTTTATTTATCCCAGCTTCTTTTTTTTTTTTAATCTTACAACCATATATCTAAATTGATTTAATTGGAGTTTATATAATAGAACAAAACACATTAGTAAAAAATTTCAGTTTAAAGAAAATATACTGTTTTTTATGGAAAAAAAAGGGAAATTAAAATCAGGGCTTCAGATTTTTATTTACATCACCTTTTTTTCTGACACCTTTAAATTAATTTAATGAGTGAATAAAGTTTGTCACTGTGCAATTTAAACAAAGTATACTTAAAGTCGATCAATGGTCTAAACATTTCCTAGTGAACATACAGTACTACAGCATTTCTTAGGATGGCTTTGCAAAAGTTTAAAAGCAGGTTCATTTTTAGAACATTATCTTAAGCTTAGATCATTTAGCAGAGCAGTTTTCAGTCAATCTAGAGAAAATTGTAATAGCACACTTGAAACCACACACAGATATGGAGATCCAATAATATTTAAGGACAGCTTTTTAAAAATGCTTACCCACTGTTTACCTATTAGATAATACAGTACAAAGAGCCACAGCTCAGGTGGAAAAACCTGTGGATAAAATAGCTATTAGATGTTTACTTATCCTACATTTAAAGCAGAGTGACACGAAGGGAAAACATTTTTGGAGATTGCCAGTACTGTGTAGCAGAATCATCCATCATCTAAATGTGCTACACCTCCATCAGATCAAAATTAACCTTTTCCCCTGGAAGAAAAGGTCATGTATAGCATAAAACTAAATCATCTGTATGCTTTTCTTCTGTCAGGATAGGGAAGTTGGTCACAGTAAAATGGATGGAACTAAAAAAACTGAAAGAAAGCTTGCTAGAAGCTTTTAAATGTTGTTGGCTAACCTTTCAACATAGACGTCAGTATCAATAGCAGTTTAGCAAACTGCTTTACAATAACACCAATAGTGTTATAAAATGGCAAACAAGTATAAAACTATAGCAAAAAAAAAAAAAAAAACTAATCAAAAACAGAAGAATTCAACTTTCTAAGATCTACCTAGTGTCATACTTCAATCAATCACAAGGTGAGGAAAACAGATTAATTTTTCAAATAAATATAACTGATTCTATGTCATGAGTAGCATGCATATGTAGAGTTAAGGTGCTCAGTCACCTCTATGTTTTAACTTTGATTTCAGAACATCATAGAAAAACTGAGTGGCTGCTTGGGAAGTGTGTTTCTTGTCCAAACTGACAGAAACCCTGAACACAAACAGGATTACAATGGAGAATTTAAATCAGTGCATTCAAAAACATGTTAGACTAGGAGGTCCAAACCTATATCCAACTTATAATCTATAGAGTGGGATTGGGAGAGACGCTTTCCATCCATTCTATCAAGCTTATAACATTTTCCAAAGAAGTTTATGTAAAAAAGTAAATCTCTGTATTTGTACTGTATTTATAGGATGATAGAGGCACAACCTTAAGGATGTACAAATCCAGTAAAAAGGTACAGTAGTTCAGCAACATATAGACCAAAGACCAGGGGGGCAATTCACTTTTTGCCACACATTTCTAGTAATAGGAGTAAGAGAAAAAAAAAAGAAAAAGAAGAAACCTTGCAGCCTTTCAATCCCCTTTAAAATTAAGCATTACTTTGTGTTGGTCTATCACATAAAATCACGTACATTGATTTGAGATTTGTGGCTGTAATGTGGCAAACGTCTAATGTTCAAGCAGCATAAATACTTTTGCAAGGGGATGGACATAATTCCAGCTGAGTGAGCTTTTGCAACATTTTAACCATAAAACATCTAGCAAAATCTACACTTAGCAAGATAACAAAAATATATATATTCAACCTTCCATGTGGATCTGAACCTCATGATCTGCCCTGATAGCTGACCTTAATTGTTCACTTCATTCACCTGTCTAACTCTGCCCAGTTCCTAATCATCTTATCAGCCTGCATCTGCTGCTTTATATTCGGCTCAGCCCAGCTATCCGGGCCAGCTCCTCGTTTGTATTATGTTTGTATTTCAGTTTGAGTTAAGTTATTCCATGTTACAATTCTTGGAGGCCAGATCATTGTTTGATTTTTGTAGTATTTTTGTTTGTTAGTTTTAGTGTGAAGGATTCCTACATTCATGTTCCTGTTCCCGGAGTCTGGTGAGTTGAGGGGGGGGGGGTTCCTTTTTTTCTTCTCTCCTGATCATGTCCTGGCTCCTAGGTGGAGTACAGTTTAAGGTTTCGCAGTTATCCTGGTACCATGACTTGTCTCTGTCCCTCAACCACTGAGCCTGCCTGTCTGCATCTGTGTGTTTCTGTCTGCTGGACTCATGGAACTCTGAACCTGCCTGAACCCTCTGTGGATTCCTGGAACCAGGGATCTGTCTGTTCCTGTATGGATCGGAACCCCTGACCGGGCTTCGGACTCCTGGATTCCAGAACTGTTCCTGTCTGATCTGTATCTCTGACCAGGATCGGTTTGCTGCCTGCTCACTGGGGTTGCTGTGTCGGGGATGCTCTGGCTCTGGGCGGCTCTGCGCTGCAGCTCGTTTGGCAGTCCATCGGCTGGATCCTGCCTTCCTCTGGGAGGATGGGCTGAACTGTTATACCAGGTAAGTGACTCAATCAGATACAGTAATCATCTCCCGTCAGATGATCATGGTCACTTACCTATGTTTCTCCCTCCAGAGTGTCAGTAATTGGGCTGTGCCCCTCCTCCCCCCTGCAGCCACTGCGGTCCACAGATCCACAGCAAACCGCTTCTGTTCAGTTATGTGTTGATAAACGTTTTGAACTTTACCACTGTCTGTCTCACCTGGAATACTCAGTCCATCTGTCCTCGTTCCATGAATCCTTTAGAATATGTAAATGTTTCATTAACACACAGCAGAGCCTACAGCACAAGTATGGTTCAGAGAGCTAGAGATAGTTTTTACTTTTTAACTGAGGTGATTGATGATTTTCTACTGCTGGCTATAATCGAGCTTTCAAAACTGTTTTAGGCTATTTTATTTTGTTGTAAAATAATAGTTGTACAATTTACAAAAGACTCTATAATGAAGCATGAAAATATTAACTGTTACATGCGAGCAAGTCTGTTTTCTTTTGTTACATAACTCAGAGCAGGAAATGAGTATATGACATTCAACTAGTTTTTTTTCCAATACAGACATTGACTCTGCATCTTTAGCAAGATATCTTTTATGAGATGGTAATTACACATCACATATTTATGACAAGCCATAAAGTAATTCTTACCTTTAACATCCACTTTTCATGGCTAAAGAAGCTAGAGTAATTGTATAACAACAAACAGAATGAACTTGTAGAATAAGAATGAAATAAAATCTGGTTATTAATGACTAACAAGCTAAACAGGATGGTGGCTATGTGCATCAAGAAATTACTTTGTGTACTGTTTAAATAAAAAGGCTTTTGCTTTACAAGTGTATTCTAATGTACAGACCTGCCTAAATACTGGAAAAATAAACATTCTATAGAGAAAAAACAGGAGTAAATGACATTGATCAAACATATTTGACTCCTTAAACACTTTTGGGTCTAGTTGGTTTCCATCTTAAAGGAATAGTACACCCAAAACATGATTAGCCTTCATTTTCTACTCGCCCCCATGCTGAACAACACTCTGGAGTACTTTTTTGATATCTCAAATGCATCTAGAGATCTGGGAGGCTTCTTGCTGTCT